GTTTGTTGAATGGATTTCTTTGATAATAATATTACAGTCTAATATGACCACAACATAAGGAAGTTCACTCTGTAAATGTTTAGCATAATATACCGTAGTACAGAGAATTTTGGTTGTTTATCACTATCTTTATACTACACATGTTAGATCCAAAATCCAAGACACTATGTTTTATGCACACACCAACGAGGAAAGTTTAAACATAATAATTTTGATATGTACATTGTTATGTTATGTGTTGATTGGTCTTAGTTAATAATATTACAGTTCAAAATTCATATATATCAACTTGGTCAAAATATAACTTATTCTTAAAGGAAGCAGAATAATGCAATTCTTTCAACAACTGCACTCTACTGACCAAAACCAAACTTGATTGGTGGGATTTTACTTCCGCAAGGAAATTAATTAAATATGCATAATTGTCTTTTCTGATTTTAAAATAAAATAATATAATAAAATTATGTACCGTACTTGCACGAATAAGCGCCCTGTTTGAATAAGCGCCCTTCTCGAATAAGCGCCCCTAAACATAAAAATTTCCTTAAGCACCCCGATTGAATAAGCGCCCCCCTCAACAGGGGTGGCGCCAGAGGGGGCTGGGGGGCTATAGCCCCCCCGTCGGGGAAGCATAGCCCCCCGTCGGGGAAGACGATAAATTTTGTCGGGGAACAAACAAATAAAAAAAATATTTACACGTAATATTCGTTTAGCCACCATATCGTTTGCGTTAACTTTTCATCACAACAACAACCACAATAACAATAATAATAATAATGGTAATAATAATAATTCAATGAGACTAATTAAAAATAATTTGCGTTCTGTTATGACAAATGCTCATTTAGATAGCCTCATGATGGTTGGAATACATCGTGATAGGTGAAGCAACCTCGACCATGACAACGTAGTTGACAGATTTCATGCAAATTTTCCAAAATATAGAATTTCACTTTCAAGAATGAGGATTTGAAAATAAATTAGATGGTTACATTGCATACTCTTTGTTTCTTGCTTTATTCAAAATGTTTTGGTTTTGGAAGCTGAGGTCAAGATTAGAAAGCATAGCCTACATGAAGTCATATTATAGTAGCCCGATGCCTATCAAATAAGTAATAAAAATTCGCCATAATTCATCAAATATCCGTGGCCAGCCAAATGAGTCTCGATTCACTCCACTAGCCCCCCATCGGGGCCTTTAGCCCCTCAGTTGGGCAGGTCCTGGCGCCACCCCTGCCCCTCAATAATATCATAAGATTTTCTTTTTAGCAAGTCAGTAATCCAATCAATCCTGGGACTGTGGTTATTAATGGCATGCTGCAGAGTGGAATACCATTCTTCTTTGGTCAATATCAAAATAAGGATCATTTTCTCTTGGACCGATGAGAGCTCCGATCCCTTGACAGACAGTATATGAAGCAGATATCTGGGAGTAAACAAAAACTAAGTCAATGCTAAACTAAAAATGCGGGCTTATAGGACAGCTGAAAATTTTTTATCTGAAATGATTTTACTTACATTGTAACACAATGTAATCCTGCATTTATGTTCTGTCACACTGAGCACAATGCATAGTACGCCCACTTCTACTGTTCTTCTTTCTTTTATTTCAACCTTGAATATCTGTAAGTATCTACTGTATAATGCTTGACTAAAAATGAACTCAAGAGTTGCTTTCTTACTACCATGGAGCTGGGTTAATCCACTTAAATCAACCAATAATTTTTAGAGTGCAATTGCCAACCATGAACAAATTGCTGAAGATACTGAATTTGTATGGTAGGCACTGATTTGAGGGTGCCATTTTTTGCAGTTTTGTACTTATGGAAATGATGTGGTAGCAGGGGTATCTAGGAGTCTTGAAATGAGGGGGATGATGGGGGACATGAAGGTGGACATGAAGGTGAAGTGGGCCGGGGCTCGATGATTAAGTAAGGGACGATAACAAATAAGGTGATGAGGTGATTTTTAACTACTTGAGTGTGATTTTTTTGCACCCCTAGATATGCCAGCTGCTAAGATTACAATAGCATATAATGAATTGTAAATATATCACCTGAGCAGTCGAGAGCGGTCCCAGTCTGAGTGGCCCAAAATCTAACAAAAGATCACTACAAGCATATTTTCAGTACCGTAGCGTAATCTTACAACCAGTGCCATTTTAAAGGTATTCTTATGTTATCGTCCTAAAATATTTTAGCTATTAGTATTTAGTATTTGTGAGTCAACCCAATTGCTATATTTCAGAATAATTTGGATTCACAAAGGCTTACAAAGTTCAACCTTTCATATGAATTATTGGGGATTATTTTTAATATTCAATACAATTCAAAGTGTATGTGGGATTGGTTGGATTTAGATGGATTAACCCACCAAAAAATTAGAATCATGTCTTAAGACGTATTGTATTTTTTTTCATCTAATAAAATTCCATAAGATTACAGACCTGGTTCTTCCAACCCACTCTGGGAAAGTACTGTAGCTACCTATGTTAAGGCTGTAGTTAGCAATGCCTCTGCCTTGGGCCTACCGCCCGGCCACTCAACTCGCCCTAGTAAAGTAGACCAAAACCAAGGGGATCCTTGTCCTGTCGTTGTTCAGTTATAAGGGTTACAATCAATGCTGCTTTTTGAAAGTCCATTAATATGACATTATGACCAGCGACTTGACAGGACGACACAGCCAACTAAGGCCATAGCAGCAAAGAGTTTCACTGAGTTAAAATGCTAAATATGACCATTAACTTTTCAATGGAATAGGGATTTAGGTCCGCATTCTCATTTTCGCATCCTCCAGGTATTCTCAATTTTTGCACGTCCCCCCCCTCCCCCAAATGAAACCAGCCTACGCACATGACTAATTTCTATTTAATTTACATTAGAAGTTTACAATACCAAAAAATAAAATATGGTTTAAATAAATTATGGTGATTACGAAATTGTTTAAAGTAAAAGATTCCGTAATATTCAAATATTTTAATTCTTAATTTAAACAGAAAGTATAACCATTTTCCAAGCGTGATAAATCCACTTGACAATCCCGAACAATAGATAGGATATAAATGAATGAACCTGTCAAGGATGTCAAGGACAAGCAATGCCTTTTTAAATAAAAAAAAAAAGTGTACAGTACTGTCAATTTTTTTTTACTGCACTCTAAACAGCTGGCGGGCTGAAATAGTTAGGATATAGTACCGTCTTTTGGATGAGATGTTTAATCAGTTGGTCTGTGTGCAATATGGTCTATGTGCACATTAGGGAACGCATATACTCTTCGAAAGGGACTGTCTCCTTCCCAATGTACAGATTCAGCTCAGCTTCACCATAGTTACAACATACTGAAGAATCGTACATCCAGATGCAGGGAAATTAAAATGCTGGAAAGCGTAGCCTAAATTTCTTCAGTAAAGGTCATGCTGTAGGCGAAAATTCGTGGACACAGATGGCCTGGCCCCTCCATGGAGGGACTGAGGCGGTATAAACCAGTGGCGTATATAAATAGGGGGTGGGCGCCAAGGGAGGTATATACCATTATTTAACTTTTACAATTTCACCTATGGTGTTTGATTTGAAAATATTTTGTTTTATTATTGTTTTTGTTATTTAGATCATTTCCAAATGAATAAATGAGGAACAATCAAAAGTGAGAAGGTGCTAGTGTTTTTTACTCAACAAACTTACAGAGGGATGGTGACAAACTTTCTTAAGGATTCTGTCCCCTCCTTTGAGATACTAATTAAGCTGCTGTTACAGAATTTCTTTTATCTGTTATAAATTACCGTAATTAATGTGATTTTGAGGGCGTTTTTGTTTTCCTGCAAAGGCAGCAACAGTATGGGAAAGGGCTTATTCCCCTGTCAGACCCTGATATCCATGACTCGTTGGAACGATAAGAAATAAAAAACAAGTTTTGGGGTATAAAGGGGCATATGCATATTAAAATCGCGTCAGAGTAGCCCAAAATTGACAAGTCTCTCTATGGTGCCACAGACCCCCACCGCCCGGGGCTTTCCCCAGGGATCTCAGTTGTCTCAGTTGAATCCGTTGAGCAGCATACAGTAGTTTCTATGAGGTGCCTAATGTACTTTCATTATTTAACAAATTTATAAACATATAATTCATTATTTAATATATAATTCAACATTTGTTCATTATATACATATAATTAGTTTTAATTTTAGTATATTCTGAACAAAGTTGAATTATATATTAAATAATAAATTATATGTATATAAGTTTGATAATTCTAAAATAAAATAGTGAACTTTTTCAAATAATTTGATTGCACTTGCCCAACTCTTAAGATCTAACCATACTAATTGTTGAATTTAGAAATGTTTAATGTGCAATATTTTTAGGTCTTAAGTTATATTTTTATAACTTTATATTTTTTTTTTTGCTTCTCCTCAGCTTACCTTCTTTTTGTTTTGTATATTTTAATGTCTATATTGCTAGAAGGAATAAAATAAAAATGAAAAATAAAAATAAACAATGAAAGTAGGGCCTACATGTGGCACCTTAAAGTCCAATTAAAATGATGACTTTTAAGTTGCTGATTATTGAAGTATTACATATGTTTAACAAATGAGTGGTAATAAAATATTTAATTTTTGGTTTATAAATATTAAAAATGACAGTTAAAAATACCTCGGTATAACAATCACAGCCATCCTGTTTATGTAATACAAACATCATATAGCACGACATATGAAAGAGGTCTCTTATACACATCTAGATGTGTATAAGAGACAGAACATATACTGTACTATAGGTATGTTGGTAAGAATGAAGGTCTCTCCTGAATTGGCCAAGGCAATGGTACAATGAAACGAAATAAATCTATGTATTTGCAGCTTTTTGTGTTACTGTCATTGATTTGTATCGTTTCATTGTTCCACTCGTTTCGCTGCAGTTGTAGAACATAAGAGAGGTGGAAGCTAGCTAACTAAGCGCGATGGTTGGTCAAAACTTTGAAGCGCCCTCTCTCGTCCTATATAATTCATGCAGGAGTATCAAAACAAACAAGATGAATAACAGATTTTCTACCCTTATTAAAACAAAACGGTGTGCTTATTCGTGTTTTAAATATGCATTCCTGGAGTCAAGAGGCGGTCATCCTTTATGGTAAAACGAATGTCATAGAAAATTAGATAACTTTTGATTCAATATACTTCAGTAGTTTTGGCTGGCAGAGTCCAGTCCTACCTAGCTAGGTAGGCCTAGCCTAGGCCTAGGGTGTAGTCCTAGTAGTAGTAGTACTAGGCTAGGCCTAGGCCTCTTAGCTAGGCTATCCTGGCGGCCTCGCTCGTTTCCGCCTTTGATTGAGTGAGGCGTACTAGGACATACGCATAAGGTTTGGCCGTCTGGCGTAGTGATTCTGTTAACTGTGAGCTGTATTATGTACTCAGGCCAGGAGTAGATACAGCCACCACTGGGTATTAAACTATTAAGAATATTAATTAAGAATATATACTAACTAAATGCACTTGTCAATTGTGTCCTGCCCCCCCCCCCCACCGGACCCGGGTCATAGCGGGGATGTGCACTTACATAAAATTTACCCGTAGTAACAGGCCTCGAAAGGGCTAAGAATTTTGCATGTTACAGTAACTACTCTAAATGGAGAAAAATAAAGATCGCTTAAAATTTGTGAACAAAAAATTAAAAAAAAACTTTTGAGCTAGGGGCGGCCGCTGGAGGGCAAACAAACAATTTTTTTTTCAGGCTTAATATATAATAATAAAAATCATAATAATAATGTTATAATATATACATCTTGATTGATATTATATACAAATATTTGTCTCCAGCCGTACGTACCTATTGTTTAATAGAGTGTATCTGGTGATAATATGAATCTGTTCAACCATGAAACCTCTGTGGTCCAATGGTTATGACGCTCGCCTTGACAGCGAGTGGTCGCAGGTCCAAATCCCGCCAGATGCATTTTATTACACAATTTCTTTATTCATTCATTTATAGGACTACATTCTTTGAGAGCTATGCTACACGATTTATTATTATGTCCTTTATTCGAACACTGTATTTACCTTTCTTTGATGATTTATATATAATTTAACGTTGTTAACAGCTATCTTAATTTATATATGTATTCAATTAAATTCAATTCAAATTAATTTTTTTGAGCATAATTCAACACATTACATATAACAAAACAATGAACAATAAAAAGATAATTTAGTAAAACATTTATCATTCATAATATTTACCATATATAAAAATTCAGTTTTTTGAATTCAGATGGCAATATGATGACGTCACAATGTCCGATCAGCCATTATGATCTATAAAATCATATCTACATCTCATGTGCTTTCAGAATTTGTAATAAAAATTGGGGGTCACCTTTCATCCTAAGGAGCTAAACTGATTAAAAATATTCATGGTTTTATGCATATATAAATGTTGACGCACGGGTACGTGCACGCTAAAAAGCGCAAACGGAAAATTAAGGTACATAACATTCAACCTTGACCGTAAGTTTATGCTCACCTAATATGATTTAGAAATGACGATTGGTTAAGATGATATGCTCACTTAATACGATTTCGAAATGGCAATTGGTTAGGCATGATATGATCGATTATGTAAAAACTCAAAATTGCCCGTAGCTGACGTCACGCATGACTGGTCACCTTGAAAACCTTACCGTGACTATTCCAGGCGAAGGCAAAATGATCGATGAAGCGACCGTGTGCATAACTTGTGGCAATTTTGAGATATCGTGCGAACAGAAATGGAAGGAAAGGTAGAAAAAAAAAAGACTAGATTTCAACTCGTCACTGAGGACGAGTTAAGTGATCCGCCACACTTTGACCCTCGAGGAAGTGTTCGCGGTGCAGATTGAACAATTTGAAATGCTGAAAATGGCCCAAAGTATACGCTAATTCATTTTTTTTTTAAAGAATTTTTAAGAATTTGAAGCATTTTAAAAGATTTACTCATGCGTATGCGCACGTCATGACGCACGTGCACATGGTAATGTCACGAAATGTTCACTTATGATATGATATGAGATATATGTATTAATTCTCATTGACAAATGCCTGTTGGTGAGTAACTTATTATCATTCATAATATTTACCATATATAAAAATTTAGTTTTTTGAATTCAGATGGCAATATGATGACATCACAATGTCCGATCAGCCATAATGATCTATAAAATCATATCTACAACTCATGTGCTTTCAGAATATGTAATAAAAATTGGGGGTCACCTTTCATTCTAAGGAGCTATAACTGAATGAAAATATTCATGATTTTAAGCATATAGAAAATTTGACGCACATGTACGTGCACGTTATGACGCGCGCACAAAAAATAAAGGTACATAACATTCAACCTTGACCTGAAGTTTATGCTTACTAAATATGATTCAGAAATGACAACTGGTTAAGATGATTATTGGGTTAACAAATTTTTTAGGAGAAAAAGATGAGGGGGTCAGCAAAAACATTTATTTTGACCATGATGACGTCATCAAAATGTAAAAAGAACTCACATGAAAGAGAATTGTCTCAGCTATAACATACTCAATGTTGGAAGACGATCGACCAAGGATAAGTGAGATATGCTCAAATGCATATTTTCAAAAATGGTATAATTCAGTTTTATTGAATCCAGATGGCAATATGATGAGGTCACAATGTCCGATCAGCCACTATGATCTATAAAATCATATCTACATCTCATGTGCTTTCAGAATTTGTTTGGGGTCACCTTTCATCCTATGGAGCCATAACTGATTAAATATAGGCTTGATTTTAGCATATTTTCACTGTATATCGGCACAAAAGCGCGCAAACATCCCTATGTTTGATGCGCACGTACGACATTGCTATTGTCCATAAGATGACTGTAAAGAATGGAAATTTGTGAAAACAATGTCAGAAACCCAAAACATGTAAAAAAACTCAATTTTCAGCTTCTGTACCTGCTGCGTGCATAAAAATGCGCACGCGTAGTACAAAATTTAAGAAAATGTTGAAATGCTCAGAATGGCCTAAAACGTGCTCTAATTTAGTCAAAAAGTGATTTTGAGCATTTTGAAATTTTAAAAAGCGGTAGGTATAAAATTTCACAAAAAATTATGTGCATGTTTAAAGCATATTTATGTTAAAACTGTTTATTGATTGTTTGTCATTTCAGATTTTGTTGCTAAATATAATTTTACTCTTTTTTTGAATATATAACTCGGTGAAGACTTGATCATATAGTGTAGTTTATTCCACTCTTGTATAGCCGTAACATAAATGTCTTACTGTTTTGGTTATTTTAGGTTTTACAAAGTTCATTCTCCTTTGTCTCGTATTGTAATTATGCCTTTCGGAAACTTTGATAAAATGTGTATTAAGATACTCTGGTCCTCTAGAATTGGCTATTTTGTATACATGGTTTAATTTTAATAGGATAACTCTGTCATTTACATTTAGCAAACCAAGCTTGTCTAATTCTCTTTGGCCAACATGACTTCGCTGTCCCGCATCTTTAATAAAACGGACCATCTTATTTTGTATAACCTGCAATTTCTTTTTCATGTGACTTGGAACAGACGAATACCAAGAGGAGGAAACGTAATTGTAGTGGCACTGAATATATGAATACAGTGTCAGGAACCTAAAACATGTAAAAAAAAAGATAATTCCAGCTTCTGTACGTGCACGTGTGTAAAAATGCACGTGCGGGACGAAAAATTCGAAAAATCACGAAAGGCTCAAAATGACCTAAAACATGCTCTAATTTAGTCAAAAAGTGATTTAGAGCATTTTTAAATTTTGACGCGCACATACTTTACTGTGGATGCGTGGACGGTAATGGTGCAGGAAGTTGACAATTGATGTGAAGTATACTTGTGTCAAGTTTCATTGAAAAAACCTGTTAGTAAAGAAGTTAGGGTCAATGAGAGAATTTCACAAAATGGCGCGTAGATGACGTCACGTATCTGTGACGTCATTTACAAAGTCAGGTGCACAACTTCAGATGTAGATCTATATGCTACGTAAGCAGCAAAGATCAAGCATGTGCCGTTTTTTAGAAAATTGACCAACAAAAAAGGTGGGAAAGAATAAAAAAAGAAATAAATAAATAAAGAATAAAAATCCGAACGGAAACAAAGGTGATACGCCGGAAGCGTATCACCAATAATAATAATTTATGTTTCTTCAAAGTTTAAGTGTACATGTATTGTTTGCATTAATATATTAAATGAAATTTAAATTGTGTACATAACTGGCTCATGTGCACTGTAAAGAATCCAGTACATCTTTTGAGAGAGAGAGTATAGTCATGCTGAGTATTGTCCGACACTATAAGTGGTACCAAAAATGTATCCACCCTTTAAAAATTTTGCGCGCCACCCTTTAAATTTTGCGGACAACATTTTCTGAAATTCCGCCACTCTATAAAAAAATCCTGGCGAGAGGGCTGATATATTGTAACATGTATATTACGTATCACATCATGATTTACCGTATAACATGACATAAAGTAAGAAAGAGACAGCCATCCAAACACTTTTGCAAAATTTTGAAACGCTAATTGTATGATGTTTTTTGACGGTAATTAGTATTACTGTACACACAGACTAATTACAGTCAACAACGCTGGTTGATGGTAATTTGTATAGTACTGTACACATTTAATAAATACCGTCAACAACTGTCAACAATGCTTGTTGATGGTAATTAGTATTATAAGTCAATCGTGACGTCATCATTGTAACTCTCAATGTTATTTGCCTATTCCTCAGCGTCCTATAATGTTTTATTATCGGACACTCGACTTGATTTTTTTAAGGTTCGTGTGCAAAAAAAAATTCCTCATTTCATCTGATATTATCTTCATCGCGAATACATTGCGCACGTCCGCGATAAAAATTGAATTGTAATTGAAAATTACTTTCGTAAAACAAGTTTGGTTAGAACCCGAAGAAAGTTACTTCAAATTCAATATTAAATTCAAATTCAATAATAAGCACCCGAGCGCTTAAAACATTTTTTTGCACTTTTGAGGGGCGCTTATTCGAACGTGGCGCTTATCAAAACAGAGTGGAAATTGAGGGGGCGCTTATGGAAATAGAAGAAAATCGAGGGGTTCTTATGAGAACTTATTAAATTCAAGAGGCACAGTTTGAATGAAAAATGATTATATAAGGACATCAGGACACCACCAATTACGAATGGTGGTGCGGCAGAAAAGATAATGGTCCAGAGGGCATGGCTTGTCATGACAAGAATGTTGTGAGTACAGTATTACATAACAGTAGAATGGCAGATGAAATAGAGGTGGTGGTTAGCTTGTTGGCCATCGGCCGATTGAGATTAGCAGGATGGCATGATCATTGCAGGTTTTCCTGAAACCTCAGATGAGAATGTGTGAGGTGCAAATTGTCGGAAAAGCAGTAGGACTAAAGCTATAGAAAAATGTAAGATGAAAGTTGGAAATATACTGTCTGTCCAGGGAGCTCTCATCTGTCCAAGATAAATATACTCATCAGGGGCGGAGCCAGAGATGTCCAAAAGGGGGGGGCGCCGAAAGTGGGGGCCAAAATTTGGGCCGATCGAGACAACAATGTCCTAGGGGGTCCGGGGGCATGCCCCCGCAAAATTTTTGTGTCCTAGACGCCGGAAAATAACATTTGAGGCGTTGTGGGCTATCATTTTTTTCTTTTCTTTCTTTTTTTTTCTTTTTTTACCTCCCAAAAGGGGGGTCCGGGGCCGGGCCGCCTCCCCCCTAAATCTGCCCCTGCTCATTTTGATATTGACTAAAGGAGAATGTGATTCCACTCCACACCTCAAATCATGCCAATATCCACAGTTCAAGATTGATTGAATTATTGAGGAGGGCGTTTATTCAAATTAGAAGGGGCGCTTATTCAAACGGGGCCCTTAAGAAAATTTTCACGTTAGGAGGGGCCGTAAAAGACAGCGATTGACTTTATAAAGCAATTAATAGAGCATGCATCGTACACCAAAATGAAAATTATTATACTTAGGTTAGATTTAATGCATTCAAAAATTTCCTTCGGGCCTTGCAGGCCCTCAGGAATTTTTTTTCAAGCATTAAATCTAACCTTTGTACAATAATTTTCCTATAGTGTACTATGCGGAGCTCTACTAATTGCTTATTAATGTACACAAATACTAATTACCATCTACAAGCGTCAACAACCGTGAGCAACCCTTGTTGACGGTTGCTGACGCTTCTTGATGGTAATTGGTATGACCCGATAGCTATTCGGGTCCTGTCTCTGCTGTTTAAGACTAAGTTACCTGTCCACAACAACATAATTAACATTACAAAAACTAGGCCTAGCCTAGGCCCTGTAAACTTTATGATACCTCAAAAAAAAAAAAAAAAAAAAGAAATTGCAACATGGCTATTATATATATTAAAGGCCTAGGCCCCTACAGAATGTAAAGTAAGGCCTGCACAAAATATATCCCTCCGCGCATTTTGAAAAAAAAGGGCCGATATCAGCTCAGATTTTTCAGAAAATTAGGCACATAAACATAAACAATCCAAATGGATTACAAATGGCATAATACGATCTATCAAATTTAAAGATAAACTTCATCTGAAGTTTAAAAGAACACCATTTGAATCTGAGGAATATTTCACATTAAAAACTAATCTTAAGACATACAACAAACTCCTAAAGAGAATCATTAGGGTAGCTCAGAAATCGTACTATGAATCGTGTTTTTCTAAATACAAATATGATGCGTAAAACTTAGTCCACTATAAACAGTATAATGAACAAAAGAAAGGAAAACACGTTTTCCAGAGTCTTTTACATACGATGGCCAATCGATAAAAAATAAGTTAGACATTGCATATAAATTTAATCAGTATTTTACCAGCATAGGCCCAAATGTTGCCCAAAGCATTTATATAAACAGTGAAAATACTTTTGATGATTACCTTAAAAATACACGCAACTTTAATTTCCAATTTGAAAATATTAATGAAATCGATATTAACAAAATAATTGATGAACTTAAACCAAAGAATAGCTGTGGTTCGGACAGACTATCGATGAAATTTATAAAATCCCTAAAAACAGTAATAATTAAACCCCTAACATTAGTAATAAATCAGATGTTAGAAACTGGAATTTTTCCAGAAAAGCTTAAATTAGCCAAAGTAATACCACTTTTCATAAAAGAAAACGACAAACTCTGTACAAATTATCGTCTAATTTCGGTTCTACCTGCAATATCTAAAGTTTTTGAAAAAGTTATTTATAACCAGCTTTATACTCATTTCCAATCAAACAAATTATTTTATAGCAGTCAATATGGCTTCCGTAAAAACCATTCAACTGAATTAGCTGCACTTGAGTTAGTAGATAGGGTGATTCAATATATGGATAAAGGTGAAATTCCAATAAATATATATCTATATTTGTCAAAAGCTTTTTATACCCTAAATCACAATATTCTGCTACACAAATTAAATTATTATGGCTTACAAATATGCTTATTCCACCTTCTTAACAGTTAATTAACAAATCGCTTACAATATGTGGATATAAATGGAACTAAATCTGATATTCTTCAGATCACGACTGGTGTTCCTCAGGGGTCGATACTTGGCCCACTTCTTTTTATCATATATGTAAACGACATCTCCGAAGCTAGTGATGTATTTAAAACCATAATCTATGCCGATGACACTACACTTTCAACTACACTACATAGAAATAGATGGGATTAAAATACAGCAGACCCCAGACTTCAATTTTCTTGGTGTAATAATATTAAGAAAATAAAAGTTTGGAAATATGCAGGCAACATGTTATTCACATATTTATGGTAAAAATTTAATTGGCAGAGTCTATGAATTTGCAAAAAAATGCATTCGTGCTAGTTTACCTTCTGTAGTGAACCATACTGGAAATTTAATAATTGATAAGTACATACTCTTTCTCCGAAAGGATTCACAACATACACAAAAAAATGTATTTATAAATGATTATCTTGAGGTGTGTGTTATTAATAATTGCTATATTTGTAGGTCAACTGAAAATTGACTCTTATTTTCTTAGTAATCACATCTAAAATTTCGCTAACTTTAATGCATGTTCATATTTAGCTGGTATGTACTGTGAAATGTACGTATTTGTGTACGTAAATGCAGTTTAATATTGGTTTTACCTTTTCTATTTACATTGTGCTTGTAGAGAAGAACTATTTTTATTACTTTGTCACCATAATGAATTATAACATTTATAACTGGTAGTGCGGGTGTTTTTGGTGATGGCATAGCCGGGGTCGGGGGCTGAAATCTTCAATATTCATGTAAAATTGTTACCTGGAAATAATAATATTTTTAACACTTATAAATGAAAATAGTAATGATTCTATTATTATTTTTATTATGGTGTTTATTATTATTATTATTATTATTATTGTTATTATTATTATCATTATTATTTTAGATTTTTGAAGTTTTCATGGGTGGCTCTTATGCTAGCGGCTGTTGCAGCCATAACAAGGGTCTCCCAGATCCATTTATCTCTTTTTAATATTTTCAGTACTGTGATACTGTTATATTTTCTGTATTTGCTTTTATTATTTTGGATCAAATAAACATGCCTGAGTCTGGGCCCAGAACTACTGTAAGCATGTCGCACAGCATCAACCTTATTTTGGGCGGCCATGGATACCGTTCCAACAGTTTTAAATCCCAGGTGTTGATTAATGGAGCTGGCTTGACCTAACCTTAAACTTCAGTCTTGCTATCTTGCCATACAGCATGTCAAGTCCAAACCGAGCGATCATTTCGAGTTGGAACAATATCCATGGTGCAGGTTGTGCAAATTATTTGTTTCTCCTCAAAGAAATACATCTAATATTCTTTTAATTGAGGGAGTACAGCAGAATTTTATTATTTTTTTCAGTTCAAAATATACTATAGCAGCATTCAGTACTACAGGCTGGAACGGTGCAGGGTCAAATGATAAAACCAGCTCTTTGGTCAATACATATAAAAAGTATGAACAGAAATATCTTGACTACATAGAAAAACGCTACCCTAGATATTATAGGGTAAACATGCAGGTGATCTCAGGTAAGTGGAAAAGGAAATTATACAAATTAGCTAATCAGCATGGACAGATACAGGGTTTCATTTTTGAGTACACATAACAAGCTATAAAGCAAGTCATTAGTTTTAATTGAAAATTATGAGAAATATATTTTCTTCCAAAATTAACAGATGCATAGATATTATGCTATATTTTTTTCTATATTTCTTTTACTGTTTAAAAAAATATTTTGATGAGAGATACTATATCTTTATTACTACAATGCACTACCGCTGAGAAGGGGAAGGTGGGGCTAGTGCCCCAGTCCCCACAGAGGCCGGGACAAAACAATTTTAAAAAGTTATAACATTATATGGAAAAAAAATTATTCGAACAGGTTCTTGGTGCCCCGGCAGCTACAATGTCCTGGGCTGCTCTCTCTTTTGCTGAAGTGTGAAAAGCGTCCTAATAGAGTTACGCTTTTAGAAGTGTTGTCCCAAGTAGTGATTTGACTAAAAATCGTAACATTTTTTTTGTAAGTTTGATTGTAAGTATTAATCTAAAGACCCTGCTTATAATCAAAGTTTAGGAAGTTTGTTATAATATGTGATCAGTTAAAATTTCTTAGATACAGATATCAATACAGTATGTGAAATTTTTCTGTTTTATCAAACCAAACTTGAACTGACCTTTGCTACCAGTTTTGATGTTCATTACTATATTGTTAAGCGAGATGCACACCAATAGGTGGCGGCCAACAATAGTATAAAAGATATTTATTCTGTAGGAGCAAAAACTACATGGAAAGATATGAAATACAGATTGCATTTACGGAAGAAAATAAGAGAAGATGGAATATCCTATTTGGAATTACCTTGGAAGGATATTATGTTTATAAGACAGGTAAGAGGTATTTACTGTAGATATAAAAAGTAAAAAATATTAAATTTTAATACAATAACAAGGCTTAATATCAAATTTCATTAAATTCATTTGATATAATTTTTATTGTATTAGGATGAGTAACATTATTAGTAGTTAAAAATATAATTCATTTAAAATATGAAATACAATATTGTAAAAAAAAAATTCCTGAAAATGAATTACAATATTACATAGAACAACGAAGAAGAAATAATTTGATATAATTTTTATTGTATTAGGATGATTAACATTATTAGTAGTTAAAAATGTAATTCATTTAAAATATGAAATACAATATTGTAAAAAAAAAAATTCCTGAAAATGGAATTACAATATAACATAGAACAACATAGAAGAAACCATTAAGAAATAATTTTATATTTCATAAATACCACATTAGGGGTTATCAATTCAGAGGAGCTATATAACCAGGTCTTAGGGCTGGGGTAATTAAGAGCAGTATTTTTTAAGGGAATGACACCAAGAAAAACAACTCCAGTGGAGTCCGTCTGGTGGAGAATTTGGCAGTGCACCGGGAGGCAGTACACCGGGAGACAATCCCCCACTCTTTTCCAAAGAGTTCTTTAACTGCACATGGGCCATTAATGCACACAGAAGCAACAGCTTAAGCGTCTCATCTGAGTGTCGGTGCTCTCGTAATTTGCATTTTACCCCTCCAGCAAAAACACAAGGAGAGCGGATGGATTTGAACCGGTGGGGGAAGGGGGTGTTCGAAGGGTCTCCACGGTTCAGTGCACACACAGGGTTACCACCAGTTTAGCTGAATGAGCTCAGCTGCTCACTAGTTGTGAGAAACATTCTCGTTAGAAACATTCTCAACATTCACCATCAAGTTTATGGAGGGTCATAGTACAGATATAGTTTTTAAAATGAAATGGAGGAGGGTAGGCTTAGCCACCAAGTCATTCGGCCGTCAATTATTTAGGACGGCCACTTTTAATGTGACGGTTTGGACGGCTTGGCCTAATCAGCTTGGCCTAGCCTAATTGGGCCTGGTCTCCCTTTAGCAAATTCTTTATATTCTTCAAGTCTATCGAATTAAACTAAAGCTAAATCATATTTACATTTGATTTTTTTCTTATATTTGGGAGAGGACGTGGCCCAAGTGGGTGTGGCTCGTCCATCTGCTTGGAGCCACGCCCACTGGCTTCCATTTTGGATGGCCTATTACATTTTTCTGGCTAAACCCCTGTGGAGGAGCCATTTTGACCTTACGTGTACACAGTTTAATGTATTTCAGTTCTCACATTTTAATGTATTTCAATTCTTGTCATCCAGGTAATCTTACTTTCATTCATCCATTCATTTAATTCCTGTGTATTGGTCATCCTCTCCAAGTCAAATTAAGAACGATGCTGTCATTTGCACCCTTACAGTATTTTTAAATAGGTTTAAAGCGTATCTTTTTAGTCTTCAGATGTACAGTAGATATAATTTTAAATATAATTTCATGCATTGTTTTTTTTTTTTTTTTAATAAATTTTAACCAAATCTCTGTAAATATTATTGATGTTTTTGGTGTTTTGTTGGGACTTCTGGCTCACTGAGTCATAGAGGCAATTGCTTCTTTAGAAATCCCAGGCCTTTGTGTCTAATAAATATATGAAATGAAAATATAAAGCAAATGTTCGGTCTGTCTGGACATTCTTCAGATGTAATCATTGTGGAACCAGAACAGTAGCTCCGTTTCCACCAAAAAAACAAAAAAAAAATTGTATTGAGACAAATGGATGATGATGTCACATTTCTTTATGTTAGGTCAATTATGAATTTATTATTCATCATAATTTTTTATTTTTTCTAGGCTCGTAGAGATCTTTTAAAAGTTACACCAACGTTGGTTCTGTGTATGGTACCAATTGTGTTCTACGTTGTTCTTGTTGTTGTGTAAGTATTGGTTTTCAGTAGTGGAAATGGACACCATTGTGAATAGCATATTTCAACCCAATTTATTCAATGATTTTATAAAAAAAATTAAAAAAAACAACCTTTGTTATTTGTTATCAATATATATTCATTTAATATTTTCAAATACTTTGATTTGCATATATTTTCAGTGCACTTAGACCACGTTTGCTGTTGAGCCAGCAGTTCTTCACAGCCCAGCAGCAGAATACATTCCATCTGAAGGATCATAGGCAGCGATGCAAAACCTATCCACAAATATTGAAACATCTACGGAACACTAAATGCAAAACAACAGCAGATAAAGAAATGCTCAATACACTAGTTGCCATGGTAGGTGTTATGTTTAACAAAAAATGTCTACATGTTTTGAAAAAAGAAGATATTCTCTCTTTTTATTTATTTTTCTATTCCATCACAAAGGTGGCCACAAAACATACACAGTTATATGCAGTGGCGGCTCTAGGATATAATTTATGGGGGGTAGGGTTAAGATGTCCGACTGGGGGGGCTAAGTATTTATAGGTGTAACTATAGCGCACAGCGTTATCTGATGGTCGAAGACCCGAGCCAGGGGTGGGTATAAAGGAAACCTTTTTTTTTAATTGTAACATATGAGGCTTGCCATCTCAAAAACCAGCATACCATCGCTGAATGTTGGAAGTGAGTAATTACCATAATGATATGGCAATGTTGTATACTTTAGTACTGAGAAGCCGTAATACTTTTACTCATAACTTTGGCAGTAGTAAGTCTATTCCAGTAAATGCCCCATTATTTGAAAGCTTATAATGTGGACAATATGAATGTATTTAAAAGTTAATTTTCTTGTTTTTGTCACTGTTGCTGGTTTTGGCATGACTAGCCCCATGTAGCACTTGCAGAGACCTCAGTAATAATAATATAGAAATGTACAACCATTAACCTTTAGTAAACAAGTTCTCGTAATTTTGAATGCTCCGATGAGGGCAGTACAATAGCAGTATATTAGACGCAGTAGAGCTAAGAAGGATCTTCATTTTCTTGGGATCATGCCGCCTTCCATAGCTAATTTATTCTTTTATCATATCTTATATGACATGAGGCGAGTCGAGTGGCCGAGCAGTAAGGCAGGCTGGCAACGCTAGCTATAGCCTTAACATCGGCGCTGGTTCCAGCCGCTCCTCGCCCATGGTTCGGTTGGTAGAACCGAAGTCTTCTCAGTTAAGGACTTAAAATGGAGGTGCAGTGTATACATCTGGCTCGTGTGCACTTTAAAGAACCCGTTGCATCTTTCGGAAGAGTAGGGGGGTTACCCTGATGTTATGGTTCATTTTAGCCCGTGTCGTTGTGGAATGATGTGAACATGTTTCTACCAAGAAGCGCCTCTTTACGACTGCTAGGTAGTCACAGACCACGCCCATACGCAATTCAGCACAATGATGCTTCAAGTTATGGGTTATTCTCCTACCTTTACCTATCTTTATATATATTTGGGTCTGTACTCTGCTATGGAATAAATAAATTTCTTATGAGTGAATGAATATAAAATCCAATAGAATGTTTTATTTATTATTGTTACAGGTGGTTACAGGTGAAGGGAAAGATGCTGAAGACCTACTCAGAGTAAGGGATCTGTTTTCCCAGTCATTGAATCTTGTCAGTTTACAGCGATCTCAATTAGTAAGTTTCAACTATACACATTTAATGTTATTCAATTTCTCAAGTTAAAAACAATTGCCATATACTGGCTTGCATAGTCTTATAAAGATAACTGCAACTTGGAATATTGACAAGAATGAATAGTTTAAGTCCAAAAATACTGACAAACATACCAAAAATCAATACAAGATAAATTTTGACCAATTAGAAAGAGGTAGGCGGAACATGGAGACAAATGATATTCTGATAAATAAATTGATAAACAAAATAAGATTGTGATAAACAAATGATTATTTTAGAACAAACGCAAGTTAGCACTTATGCTATGTGAATAATGCAAGCTCTTTAGAGGCTCTGAGACCATAGTTTAGACTAGGCTTGCATCTTCTTATTGCTAAGGCTTCAGCAAATAAAATTTCAGACCAATGTAGAGAACCATGAATAATATTAATATTTTCAAATAATAAAGACTCAATAAAAGATTGTTTGGATGTATTGTCAGCCGTCATAAGATTGGTTAAGAAGCGGGCAATAAAAATTACTATTCACCTGGAAAATGGTACTTTTTCGACAATCTTTGATCGTCAAGCCTAGGTCTCTAGGCTAGGCTAGTAAATATTTTTTTAGGCCTCGTAGAATCTATGTATGAGGTACAATATATAAAACAAATATTGACTGCTCTAGTTTCGGGGAACGGGGAAATCTATTGCCCCTCTGTGATGTGGAGCCTGTAGCCTATCTTCCCTCGGGCCTTCGGCACTCGGGAAGATAGGCTACGATCTCTACATCACCGAGAGGCAATAGATTTCACTATTCCTCTCATGAGCAGTCAGTATTTGTATACTAACCTATATTATCAGGGGTCCCAAATCTTCTGCAAGTTGTGGGAGTCTCCCTGGAAATTAGGACGTCCTCCAGCATTCCTTCAATCAAATTACAATCTCCTGGAATATAACCCGTCTCCCGCAAATTCATAATATCTGCATGATGACCTTTTAAAAAATAAGTATGCGAAACAGGGATTAAAAAAGTCTCCCCCTTATCTACCACTATTATTATGTTGGGTTGGTCAGGCTTGAAGAACACATACTTATTTTTATGTTGCCTAATATAATAATAAAATACATGTTTGATTTTAACATACAGGCAGATATTTGTAAATTGTTAGCATTGAATCCATACCTGCAACCATCTTTCCTGCTACGCCGTAGACTTGCCTCCAACCTTTTGGAACTTCAAATGATTGATAAAGGGATAAAAAAGGATGGTGTTGGCAAACTGGAACTTCAAGAGCTTCAGAGGGTAATTATTGTTATCTTTGATTTAACAGGTGTCCTACAAAAAATAGACATTTATTTTATTCTATATTTAAAAAAAAATGTACAGCAAGAACTTTCATTGAAACAGACAAAAAATCTTAAATTGATTACCAGCCAATTGAAGGGTTTAAAGTATGTATGAAAAAGATATAAAATGTTTTATCATTTTAAGCGTTAATGGAATACTATATAGTATATTTAAATTTATGAATTAGGCAATTCAAATATAGTTCTGTAGTTTCTAGAAATTTAAGAGTAAAACATTAATTTATAAAAAGGTAACGTATCTTGTAAGTAGCATGACAGAAATGGAGATTTTACTTACGGTTGAGCTGTGGTAGAAGAGGAGAGTGCACCAGAGGTCAACATTAGCGTTGTTCACTGCCAGACGTGGCTTTAATTTGCTGTAAATGCAAGACCTGTTGTCCCAGGATTGGACACAGCTGAAGATGCAGTCCTAACTCCAAAACCTAAAAATATTTATGCTTCCAAGAATTTTTAAATACCATTAGCCTCCAAAAAAAAAATATTTTTTTTAGAACATGTGGTGAAATTAATACATTTTGGAAAAAGGTTTAATAACTTGCTACAACACAGATAAATTGATAAATAAAAATGAGTTTTCATACATATTTGCATATACTGTATACATTACAGATTTGTTTTGATCGTGGTTTCTACACGAGCGATGGCAAAAATGAAGAGGAATTTCGGAAATGGCTTCAAAACTGGATTGGGTTAACAGTAAACTTGTCTGGTAAGTGAACTCCAATAACAGTAATTGCTGGCCATGGATTGTAGAATGCCACTGCCTTGTAATCCCCATGACCATTCCAATGTTGGTTGATAATAAATAGTTAACAAGAATACTGAATGTGCCTTCATTTTCTGTTTACTATAAGCATGGAGGTATTGTTGAGATGGAGATCACTCGGCAACAATTCCTTTTGACGCGAAAAACCAATGTGTTCCCCGCCTTTGGATCGCGCGCGGGCATATTACCTTATAATTAACATTTTTTCGTTAGCAACAACTTGGCAACAACATGCTTTTATACGCTTCAACACAGCAGTTGTGCGATAAACCATTTGATTTTAACTCATTAAATATCTTTAAAATTAACAATGTTCCCCTGATTTGATGTTTTCGGACTTTTAGTATGTTATTATGTGTATATTTTACGAGCAGATTTCACAAAATATTTCTGTTACAATTATTTCTGTGTTCATTATAATTTTATCTGAAAATTGACTGGTTTGACTAAAATGCTAAGGCAGCGTAAAACTGAAAATAATATAAATAATAATAATAATATTTTTTGAATAGTTAACCCTTGTTAACCCTAAAATGACTTAGTTTAATATAATCCTCAATCATTTATTAGTTAATATCTGTTAAAATTAGAATTATTCAATTTTATCCAATTTATGGAAATTGAAGTTGAAATATACTATACTTTCAAAGCTCATGTAAATGCTTCATCAAATTCTAAACTCTTTTGTGGAAAATATTATGTTTGATATTTCATGAGAGATAAATATATCAGCTTCAAAATGGAAACGATTGCGCAGCCATAGTGATTGACTGTATGTAGTGCGCATTGAGAAAATAAGGTGCTCTCCATTTCGCCATGTTCAATTTTTTGGTAAACAAAGCCTGCGGGGCATTTGATGGCGGGGAACACATCATACTTCAAAGGCATCGCACAAACGTTCTTCATGCGCTGCGCGTGGCTTTTTCGAGTGATCTCAATAATACCTCCATGCTATAAGCATGTGTAGCCCAATTAAGGACAATCAGGCCTACATATGATCAGTCCCATGGACGATCAGGATCATTTGTCCCGACTTCAGTCACTTAAACACATCATTTATGTTTCCAAACAATATCACATCCAGAATTCATCACCCATCCTCATAAGCTTGTAGTATCTTCTTACAGTAAAAAGTCATGTTTTTATTGTTGAATGTTCAATTGAATATAGCATTCATCATGTGGCAATTGTATTGTTTATATTGTGATTTGATTATTATTGAACAAAAATTCTGCACTGATTAACATAATTTTGAGTGGTATATTAGACTACAAGTAGTACATATTTGATGATATTCAATATTAATCACCCATCTTCATGAAAGGAGTGGCAATACAAGTGGTTTCATACATGATGTTGGTATGTAATGTAAAGTAAAAAGTAATTAAGCAAGTATTTTTTTGTTTGAATTTTTTTGAAGTTTTTCTTTGACCCTTTTGTCTGGATGCCTAATTTTATTGTTGATTAAATATATTTTAACTGGTTTCGTTTTCAGAGAGTGAACTGCCATTATTAGGGTACGGAGCCTTCTTACTTGTGGTCAACCATCCGGCAACTCAGAATATTGAATTTAAATTATAATTTATAAATTAGCATTTGCGCAAATCATGTTGGCTCATATTGAAACACCCATCCATCTACGTCTGTCAACCGGAGAGTGTCATCTGCATATCAGCCATTGTGCAGGCTGGTAGATCTGTAAATCCTTGCATATATATTTTGTTAAGTGGAATTATAAGTTGCAAGATCACTTGAATCTAGAGATTTATTTTGATGGCACAATATTATGCCAGAGATAAAAATCTGGGTAGGACTAATGTAAAGTGGGGGGTAGGAGGGGTTGGGTTTTGGAGATCCTTGTCTGGAAATGCTTGACATTGACACTGATAGATGGAATTACAGTAATAGTTATATTGAGTACCATATACTCCCCCTTTGGATCCACCCTTGACGTGCAATGCAAGTACTGTACTGCGGTTGTACTCGCAGTAGTCGCCATATGCCACAAAGTAAGTTTTGTTGCGTGTCAAATTGACATAATAGACCAAACAGGTATAGAACCTGAATTTTGATAAAAATGAATTTTGTCTCAAACTGTCAATATACAGTACTGTACTTCTCAATTTTGCTGGCTTGTATCAGTTGAGGGCGCTATGTAAAATCTACTGTATTATATCAACAGTCATCAACCAATTGTATTTTTGATGTATGTTCTGCATCAGGAAAATACCATAGGAGTGATGTTTTGCCCGGACGTTTTATTGTACTGTACACTTCCCACCCCTATGTATTTGAGAATGTACAGTGTATTCGGTACGATAGCACTTTGGGTAGGGCAAAACATAACTCCTACAACACCAATAGTGTTATTCAATATTTTCAATCACTTTTCCAGCTTTTTTCTGGTGGACAACTTAAATAAAAGACAGACAATATAGAAACTTTTAAACCACCATTGTATATTTACATTCATTGCACAAAGCATATCAACTGTTCTGACTAGAAAGGAGGAAAACTTTACAATTTTGAATCCAATAACAGAAATTGACACGCATACATTGTTACTGTTTTTGTTTATTTCTACATAAATAAAAGCACCGGGAAAGGAATCTTAACTAAGAATGTTTATTTTTGCTTGTTAAACATACTAAAGATATACACTACACATGATGATATTTGAAGAAAATATATGTATTTGAAAATCTTGGTGATAAACAAGTTTTAGGAACCTGCTTGTCATTCATTCTTGTTTATATATGTACTACGTATTAACTGTTTGGTTTACAATAAACAGTTACAATGACAGTTTTCTCTGTATTTCTTGAGTAATAGATTTAAATTTCTTCCAATACACAGTAAAATTAAAATGTTGACCAATGCCAAATTGAAGTAATTTTAGTGAGTTGTCAATACTTAAAAATGAATTGTAAATTTGTTATATTGCATTAATTCATTTTGGCAATGTTCAACAATATTTAGATGTCACATAATTCAATTGTTCCAATACTTTTGATAATCAGGAGCTTTCTATTTGCCCGATGATATGATGCTTAAACGGATTCACTCGTGATTGACAGTCGTACGTTCTCTGTACAACTTAAATTTGATCAAATTGCATCCTAGAACCCATATGTTCTCTCATGCGCAGGTGATTTTTAATGACGTCATTACGTTTTAACGCGCCAAGCAATCGAAAGCTCTCTATTGCCATTCAGATTAGCTCCCATTCGCATTTTGTTGTTCTTCGTAAACAATTTTTAAATAAACAATTCAAAATACATTTGTTTATGAGAATGCTGTTTTTGGGCACCATATCCTAAACCTTGGTGGGACTCTTTTTGTTTATGGGAGAACCCAAACAAACCTAAACTTCAATTAATATTAACAAAACAGCTGGAAAGAATTCATACACATATTGGTGGTTTCTTATTATAGTTACTATGACAATGCCACAAACAAAAACGAGCACATGATTAAACGTCAAAATTCTTTTTACACAAAGCTGAAGAATTAGCTTACATTTTCACTGCTTTTTACACCAAGCTGAGGAGTTTGTTTACACTACAACACTACCATTGCTTTTTACAAAAAGCAAAGGGAGCTTCACTTGCGTTTTACTTAGAGCTAGGGAGTTTAGACTTCCATCTTTTTTTTTTGTGGTTTTTTTTTTGTACAAAGCTAATGGGCTTGCATTACTTTTTAGTACATTTTTTAAAATATCTTTCTATTAAAAGTGTTTTACCAAAGCTTTTTTAAATAATTTATAACGACAACTTTAATTCCAGTTGGTAGAATGAGTGTACTTAACATCTGCAGCAATGTTTTAATACACATCTATAAACTAAAAATAGTTACTTTTTTATGTACACCTTTAAAAAAAAAAATAGTTTCAAATTTGAGAAAATGGTAATTACCATTTTGAGCACTTTAATAAATTATTTAAATAAATTTAATTAAAACATAGTAGCACATTATTTTTTATAAGATCAATTTAAAAAGGTGTGATTTAACATTTTTACAAATTGTAAATAAAAGACAATTATAACATTTAGGTTAACAATGCACTGCAACAAGACAGGTATTTGCAGGGTATGGTCCCTATGTTAAACAATAAGATATATCTATTTCTACATTCTCAAGGCAAAAGCAAGGTGTTATTCACTGGTCCCTTCTAACACTTTCAGAAACACCATGTTCCGTGTGTTTACTGCTACTCATTTTTAACAAGATTGCCTGCATGCAACCTCTACACTGATAGCGGTGACATTTGTTGATATATGGTTGTTTCTATTAACACAGAACCTAAAACATTCCCCATCAAGTTGTGTTAAATATCAAAATGAAATAACTAATACAGAATTGAGTGTGTAACCACAACAATCACTATACTAATCACTTAAGTACGAAACCATCCAGTAAGCAAATGGAAAACTAAAAATGCTCTGAATTAATTGGTCTCTCCTCTATTTTTGTAATTAAGTCCTCTATTTTCGTAATCAAGTCCTTTGTTTAATTTTACCTAAATTTTTCTTTTCTTTTTCTTTTCAATTTTTGTATTTTATGTTATATAACTGGACCACAACGAAAACCAGGGCCTTTGCATTGAGCGTGCCATCCAGTATAACGAAAGTTTTAATAAGTAAATAAATTTTAAAAAGTACAATGGTTTTGGAGCAACCCAAATAAAAATACAAATACAAATTTAACTGGAGTAGGGCCTATCAGTTGTTACTTTCATTGTACTTTAAATTTATTTATGGGACTTTTGTTAAAACATAATCTGATATATGTAATAAAAAAAAAAACAACAGTGCTTTTATAAGCATAAGTATTTCTTGACCCCTTGCAATGTCATTTGATTTATTAGATCCCAAGAATTAAATCCTAATAATATTGTAAAATCCTTGAAAAATCTGTCAGAAACTGCGAAAGTAATATGATTTAAACTTAGCATCAAATCTAAATTGTGGGCCTGCTTTCAACGATTGAACCCTATCTCATAATACAAGAAATGCAGCTGCATTTAATAAAAGAAAAAAAAAGACTCGCTTTTACTGTGGGACCACTAGCAAATGCCTCTGATCTAAATAAAATTATACTGTAGTAAAAACAAACAACACTTCCAATAAATATTAATTATAAAGCAAACATGCTAATACTACCACAAATGATGTATACATTACTACACAAACAATGAATACCTCACTGGATAATATATACGTATATAGATATATATATCAGCTTTAGCCTTTTTTTCACTCCACGTATTGCATGCCTATTATACATAAATAATGTACATAGAAATCCTCAGTCTGCCAGGCATAAACTAGCAGATATTTGTCTGTCAGACTAAAAATGTTTGATCAGACTTTGATGAAGTAGAGCAATGCCTAAATATGGTCATGACGACATCCCATCAAGACCATATATAGGCATATCATGACCATATCTAGGCATATCACGACTGTAAATGGGCATACAACTGTCTTTTGACATGGCACATATTATGTTCAAAGATTTAACCTGAATGCCTGTTTCAGATTTTATCAAACAAACTGAAGTTGCTCAATTATTTCATCATATTTATTCCACCATAGTCTGATCAGACTAAGCTGACTCTTGTAGACATTCCCAGGTTTTTATTATATAATAATAATAAATAAATGAAAACTAAAATAAGAATTTGGCTTGTCACACACTGTGCTAAGGCAGAGAAAATGTGCTATAAACTTGTATAGATCATTAAAAGTGCCTACTTTTGTTTTAAAAAATGTCTGAAAATATATGAAAATTTCTTCATAAACAGCAAATTTGGCAGGAGCTTCCTTTACTTCAAGGAATACATGACATTTCAATATCCTACCTTTTCTCAGTAAATATGGGACATGAAATGTCACATTTTAACATGGTAGTACACCGACCAGTCCAAATACGATACAAAAGGAAAAAAAAAAATTAAATTTAGCAAATAATAGATGGTGGGTTGTTTACAGTATGTTATTGAAAGTCCAATTAACAAATAACTGTGATAAAAACATCAAATCCCAAAAGGGACTTTCAAACTTATTGGTCCAAGTATAAAGAGCAGACATGATTTTTGTTTTAATATTTCAGTACTCTATTTTCATTCAATAAAATATTTTTCTCTCGTTTACTGTATTTTGATTGGTGGTCACAAAAAGCAATGGAACATTTGCCAGATCAATAATAGATACATAATTAACCACCAAGGAGGGTAGTATTTACAGATTCAGGTAATTAGCATCAGAGACAATAATACAAGACATTCCACAAAAAGAAAAAAAAAAATTCTGTCTGAATTTTCACAAGCCAGAAATTAGAGCATAAAAATCATCTTCAGAATAACTACACATACTGAAAAATTCATATGTAATAATAGGTGAAAAACAGGAAATTCTTACTTCCCCCCCACATCACAGATTTATGAATACCGTCTTGCATACATGAAAAGAGCAGAGGCGAGTGAGGTACACTCATTTCTACATTTTACATAAATGTCCCCATGATTTCTGTATTTAATCAACTACATTATTTCATCAATTCCATGATTCCAGCATTCTGTGAATTCCTTGACTTTGGGTGACACAAAAAATGTTTTATAACTGAACGGTCACAAAGGGTTCCTTACACACACCCCTCCCCACACAACAAAAAAAACCATGTTTTTTTCTGAAGGGAATTTTTAATGTGCCAATTTTAGTAGGCTATAGATTTTTCATTTCTATACTCAGAAATAAATGATTCTTGTATTTTTCTGGACATAATGTATTTCTACCTATTTTGTGAACCGTGGATAAACTGTAATTGTACATGAAGGAGAAATTAAATTTAAAACCTGAAATATGACCAGGCATCTGAAAATAATAGTGCTGCATTTGTAAAGCATGAAATGTATTAGCTTTACATTAGTGAGCATGAAAATTAACAGATTAACAGGGAAAAAAGAAAAGGAAAGGAAAAAGGAAGCCTAACAATATAATGATATCAGCCGAATGAAATATAAATAAATATTTCAGTTTATCATATAGACAGCCTTTGGCAAAAATATGCATCAACTGCAATCAAGTTTGTAAATATACAGTATTGCTGGCAAGATGTAAAAAATAAAACCAATAACAACTGAAATTAGAGCTTATAACGTCAACAGCACTTATGTACACCAGGGGCAGATCCAGTAAGGGGGGGGGGGAGACACAACGTGTCCCTCTCCCCCGTTTTGCCGCAACATTTTATAATTTCAAGGCACATATTGAAATTAGCGCTCTCTGAATATGTTGTGCCCTCCATTTGAAAAATTCTGGATCCGCCCCTGGTACACAATACAGTACCTTATACATAATAAGGCACTGAACTAGTATGGTTCAGTGTATTACTACAACAACCAACAACCATTGTGCAAGAACAACAGCAGGGCACACTACGCCAATAGCCATCAACCAACACGGTTTCACGGAAACTGCAGCAGGATGATTCATGTGCAAGGGATGGTTATTTATGTTGAACCGCTCACACTGTCACTGAAAAACAGCAGACCGCTGTATCGCCAAGTGCTCACAGAGATCGGAAGTAGATTCGTTGGCGGACGCAATGCCTGCTCATCTTAACAGGTCAGTATTAGAAATTATGAGAATGATTTATTTAAACTGAAATTAGTTTTTTGATTGCTATGGTCACAAATTAAATCAAAATCTAAATTTGGTTTATCAACTGCTAGATTAATACTTTGGAATACATATTGACAAAAAAAAAACATTTGGTGTACAATAATGCTACAGATGTGTGACCATACAGTACTGTTATACATATATCAATGGGCTTGTTTGCAATGCTAACATACGACTAGTTTGCACATCCAATTACATGTTCTCGGTTTCCATTGAGAATAATGGATGATTTGTTTCGGATTGTAGATTACATATACATTAGTAGAAACATGTTCACAATGCCTCTGATATAGCACTTTTTGCAGTGTATGTAAAATCCTGATTCTTTTCAACTGATTCTTTAAGTGTTGACACAAAATCTAGTTCTTTGTTTGATAGTTGAGATTCTTTTTCTATTTCTTCTGATGGCAGATTCTCTCCAGTTATTTCTGCTGATGTGACATTGTCCAAAGCAGGCGCAATATAATCATCTGCCTCAAGTTCATCAATAGTTTTCGCTACCTCTACCTCTGCTATAGCACTCTCCTGGAGTACAATGCTTGTGCTCTGACAGTCCTTTAAAGGAAGGATTTCATCCGATAACTCACCTGCTGATGAACTTTCATTCAGACTAATCTTAGATGATATAAAGCCATCAATTGCTCTGCCAGATTGCTCAGTTTTAAATTCTGTTTCATCGTTGCTTAAACAGTCAACCATTGTTTCATTTGGCTTTGTCAACACTTTTTCTTGTTCTTCATTTATAACCTCAGCTGCCACTTCTAATTGTGTGCCAAGTGAAACTTTCTCTTCTAATTCTCCATCAAATTTTTCTAATGCTTCATTCACAGCCACGCAATTTTCATTTTCCGACTCATTTACCATGGTTTTTACGTTTGCGTCATCATATAACTGACAGCCATCTACAGTGCCATCAGGTGACTGCTGACACATTTTTAAAAGTTGGGTATTCGGTAGATATTGATTACTGTTTCCATCTGAAGAGTCTTCAACTGACTTGTCTGGCAGGACAGTCACGTCAGAATCCTTTGCAAGAACATATTTTTCAAGTGATTCTCCCTGTGAAAATGACTCTTCAGCAGCTGGTCCACCAGATGGCAAACATGGTTCATTTATTTCCTCCATTTGCTGACATGCTTGTGGCTTCTGGGATAGTCTTTTAAATGGATGAACATCTTCTACAGGTTCAACACAACATGAAGCAATTTTATTATTTTCCCCAGTTAATAAACTTTCTTTCTCAGTTCTATCCGGTAAAAGACAGTCTTTTGCCTCTTTCGACAGAGGCATCAAGTCAGATATTCTTTCTTTTAGATGACAGCTGTTCAAAGTTTCATCTGGTAAATGATTAAGTTTGCCATCAGATGGCAGACATATTTCTGGAATTTCTTCATTGACAAGACATTTCTCTAATTCCACATCAGATGATGCAGGAGTCATATCTCTAAATTCATGAGGTTCTCCACAAACATTATTTTCTGAAGCATCCAGTTGGCCATCTTCATCTGGTCCACTTGAAAGAGCAGTTACATGAAAATATTCCACCGTGTTTTCTTCTAATTCAACCGGTGGTTTATTATGGTTCATCGGTGGCATACAATTGTTGTTTTTTGTACTAACGGTATGATGGTCACTGTCAGAAGTGTAGTCGCTGAAGAGATCAGATTGTTCATCAAGGCTACATGTGACAATTGTACTCAAATTTTGCGTAGACATGCTTTCAGTTTTGCAGGTATTTGTGGAGAATGGCAAGTGATTACAATCATTAGCGAAATCAGTGTATATTAGTGAAGCTTGAGTGCTCATGGGTTGTGTATCAGAAACCTGTGAACAAAAACTTACAGAACATGTGCGGGAGCTTGTGTTTAATTGTGTATAGGTGGGGGTGTCATCCACAGGCTCGTAGTCATCTAGAGTATGTGAAAGGTCAAGTGGCATCAGCTTTGTGTATTGCTGGTCTGGGGATGAATCTGGTGTTTGAAAAATACCATTATCAATGCTCTTTGTGGAAGTTGAATCAAATCCTGTATTTTCAAGAGAGATTGATGTGTTCATATACGGAGAGTCACATTCTGATTCAGAGCTTAGGCTCTCCTCTGTTGTGCTACTTTCATACCCACTCATAACCGAAAGAGGAACATTGCACGAAAGGTTGGCAGGTGAGTTCAAGGTACTGTGATTAGATTCGTCATAAGTAACTACACAAGGTAAGTGGTTATTAGAATTACTTTGTGACTGCAGGTCAAGAGGCATTTCTGGATTACTACAGTTGAAGCTCATTGAAGTTCCAATAGCCTGGGAGTACATGCCAGCAGAGTCAAGTTCCTGCAAGAACTGACCCTGCAGACCTGGTTTATTCTGTCCATTCAAATAGTGATTACTTGTGTATTGATCAGTGTAGTCTGTATACGGTATAGAGTCGCACTCTTTACATTGGCCGTGATCTAGGACACGGTCAGAACTTTCATCTAAGCAAACTGAGTTTTCCAACTTTGTGTAGCTTGCTGAATTCTCATCGTCTTTCAATGACTTGCCACTAAGTACATTATCCTTTCCGTTTTCAATCTCTAGACGCATCAGCGTATGCAGAAAGTGAGTCCTTACTTTCACTGGGTTGAATTCTACTCGGCCAGTTTTATTACCACACCCATCCTTACTACAACCACAAGGAAAGGATAACCGATCTACTTGACACTTTATTCCTGCTAAACTGCATGCACACGTTGATGGATTACAAAAAGATTTACAATCACAACCACATTTTTCACGAGACAAACGAATCTTCTTCAATTCAGATTTTTCCCAGCTTTCAATTTTTGTCACACCAGCTGACCTTAGCATTAACCTTCTCCTCTTTGTTGTTACTGGCTGTAAAAAGTAGTATTCTTCTACATTAATCTTTTGAAGTTCTTTTTCAGCGTCAATTTCGTGGATGTTCTTATCAACAAGGTTATGGTTACCATTTTCAAGCATTTGTCTTTGTTTTCTTTCCAAGAGTTGTTCCCTCAGAAGTTGCCGATGTTGCCGATCTTGTTCCAATGCAAAGCCATTTAAAGTGTAATTTTCTTCAAAATCATGAATATGTTCCATTCCTGGAAGACAAAGTATAAGTGTAAGTATTTGTACAAATGAAATAACAAAGCTTCTTGCATCCAAATCGATATTAATTATTTTAATTCAAAAATATCTCGTAATACAGTTTGGTCACAAATGTATGGTGTAGTAATAAATATTTAAATGTAATTTTCATTTTTAAATTATCATGTATTTTATGTTCACATTTCTGAGATTTTTAGCATTGCTAGCATTGATACTTATACTTTTTGGCAATCACAATACCAGAAATATTTCTGAAGAGACAAAGTTGAATTTTGAATCCAGAAAGTAAACCTAGTTTACAGATGATGTTGTTCCTTATAGAGTAGTACAGTGTTACATCAAGATACCATGTGATACTACTGTTGCTATCGGTGTTCAACCGGATGTCATTTTCTTCACTGACAAACCATTGATCCCAATTTATAACGTAATTATTAAGATGTTGTATCTTAGTTTTTCTTTGTAAAATTTAATTGAAGATTGAATGTATGTTTGATAACTAATACAATGTGAGCTTTTGTGATTTTAATATATTTTGATGGTAAATTATTAGGTTTTAATTCCAGAAAGCCTATTCTAAATCATTAAGATTATGTAGTCATTGAAGCCAACAAATTTTCTCTGTCCTGAAGTGCTCTTGTGTCAAAATATGCCAGACAAAAGTGCTGCATAATTGAGCACCTGTTTTTATATTCTTAGACATGTAAAGTGTTACTAGCTTGAGACGATACAAGTGCATGTTCCTTTTAGAATTGGAGTCCGACTTTTCAGAATACTTTTGATCTTTATAAAAAAAAAACTGAAAAGTCAATTTGAAGAATGCATGATTTGTGATGGTTTGATTTTAGGTTTCTAATCATAACTCATTCAGTTAACATGACAAAAATGAATGGATCAATGAAATAGTCACCTGTGTAGTTACGAAAATTACAACTGGCAATCAATAAAATAGTCACCTGAACTTACAAAATGTGGTCATCAAACAGCCACCTGTAGTTTAATTATTACAAACGGCAATAAAATAGCCACAATTACAGGTGGTTATGAAATTGTCACTTGTAGTTATGCAAATTACATAGCAATAATAATAGCCACTTGTAGTTATATGAATTATAAAGAAACCTTTCTTACCGAGTGTGGACCCTCCTTGACTTGGTACACACGTAAACCCTTGTGATCTCTGGAAGTAATAAACAGTAACACCATTGAAGTTCACACGCTTCTTTTTCTTTTTCTTTGGCTTCGTTGACTCATCTGAAGGAAAACAAGTGAAAATTAATCTTTTCATTATGTATCATATTTATGTAAATTAATAGTTTGGAGAAAACATTCACCATTCATTTTTAAGAAATGCATCATTCTAAGCTAAGGCAACCCTCACACAATTGCAATTTTTAACATACTCTACATGCATCAACAACATCTAAAAAATAACACAGTAAAAGTGACAAAGCATGTATTAAAGTATTCCTTTGGTTCAGTTTCTCAACCAAGAGAGAGAGGCGAGGATTTTAAATCCCACAGTGCGCTGTGCAGGGTTCAAACTGTGCATCTTGATTCTGATGAGTCCATGTGGTGTAGGTTCTCGATCTACTGTAGAGGTTTAAATTTGCATGGAAAAAGGTACCCTGTATCTTACCCAGCGTCACACATGGTCAACCTCAGGACTTCAACCTTAAATCCTTGGACTGGAAGCCAAGAACCATTTACTGCTGCATCACAAGATTTTACACATTTAATATGTTTCATGATAATTGAAAAATGAAATCTTAAAACCAGGCTTAGGAGGAAAAAATTGTTGATGTTGACAACTACTTTTTCCAGGACACAAAAATGCCGTTTGACTAAAAACTTGGGAACGGTTAATGAGATACAGATTTTTGAATATTGAAAAAGTGGGGGAAAAGGTGGAAAATGGTAGTTACACCCTTTAAAAAATCTATGTCTCATTAACCATTACATGAGTTTTGTCAAACATGCTTTTTGTGTCTCAGAAAAATTAGCTGTGCAAACAATATTTTCCCCTATAAGCATGGCTTGAAGTCAGGTATTTCTTACATCCGATTGTTAATCAGATTCAATGGACATTTTTTTTGTTAAAATGCACATCATGTTTTCCATGTTAGACGGGAAAACATATCAGATGTAACAAACCTTGGCACAGTATGTGCCCAGTCCCTATATACCTACAGGGTCCGTGGAATGCCCAATTCTTTTTAGAAAAGAAATATTAAATTGACTTACCGGGACTGCACACTTCATCAACACTTGATGAGGGAGAGGCGGGTTCATCATTCTGATTGGATGACGTGTCCCAATCCGGAGGGGTAGGGGAGTGTTTACGTTTTAGCACCATAGTATCGGACATAGCATCCATGAGTTGTTTTATCACTTGAGTTGTCTAATCTAACTATTTGCAGTCTCTTCAATTACATCTGAAATAAAGTAAAGATAGAAGATAATTTGTTAGCAAATATGAATATTATTAATATTTATCTTTTCAATGATTTTCTTTTGTACCACCATTGGAGTATATCAAATATTCCCTGGTTTCATTTTTTTTTCTCTTGTGACAAATGTAAAACTTGCTAAGAAAGTGCAGAGTAAAAAATGACATAATTATTCACATTTTTTTTTTACAGTAAGTTTGATGCAGATGAAAATTTTTGATGTGTTCATAAAAAACATTTGCTCTCATACTAGGCTAGTTGGTTGTGGAAGAATTCAAACATATTGTAGACTGAAAATAAGCGGAGAGTTTTGACTGTAGAGTACATGCAATGAGAATATGTGAAAAAAAAAATAAAAGGCAAGACACTTGCTTTAGGGACAATGGCAACTTTATGGATGCGAACAATGGAACAATTTAAAGGAACTAGTCTCATGCATTGCCTACTCACTTAACTACTAAAGAAGTTTCATAAAAAAAAAAATGTTTCTTTATGAAGAAAATGCTACATACCGTATGTATTTGAATAAACACGCCCCTCCTTCGAATAAATGCCACTAGAGCCTCATTTGCAATTAACACTCCAAGGCCATATTTTTCCCTCTAATAAACTCCCCCTAAATGACTGTAAACAAATCTAATTGAGGCAACACCATTCTCAACTCAGTCCACTGATGTTTTATTCCAGTATAATTACATTTTTTCTAACCTGGTTCAGTCTTTGTGAACACATTTGGTGGTAATTATGTTAAACTAAAGGGTGATTTATTTGAGTATACATATCCATTTTACACCAAAGAAACGTTTATATGAGGGCCTGGGAGGCCCTCATATAAACGCCTCCCTTGAATAAATTCCCCCTCAAAAACCCTTCTCTTGAATAAACGCCAAGGGTAGTTTATTCAAACTTCAAACTTTATTCATAAACTTTTGAGATGTTCATTGCTTCCAGGGTTCGCCCTAACTAACCTTAGCTGCAGTACTCTACCTGTATTCTAGAAATGTAGACATTTTCAAAACCTTACAGTAAATTTAAGCACTGTCTAGCCAACATGGAAATGTAAATTGAGCAATTACTTTGTAATTAGCTGTTAAATTTGCCATTAGCTTTCAATTTTAAAATTGAATGAGAATTTTTTTTTTCTCATCAATAACAGGGAACAGTTACATTACTGTTCCCTGATCAATACTGTAAATAGTGCAGTTTTTACTGTATGTTCTTTGATTAGACACTTACAATTGCTATTAAAAAAATGAAGAATCTTTTTTTACACTACTGTATGCTACCCTGTATATCGAAAGAATAACAAAAATGTAAACTAAGTCTCATTACAAGGCTTTTAAGTAGTAGAATTTTAGTCATGAGTCACAGGATTTGAGCCCAGCAGGACCCTGGGACTGAAGGCAAGCATTTTAACTACCAAATTACTATACATCTCCAGCTAAACTATTTTCAAAGTAAAGTCTGCAAATTGATGAAAAATTAATTGTTCTGATCTGTTGATTTTATACTATCTATCAGTATCAAATATAATCCAGTCAATAAGAAAGTATAAGTATTGAAATAAATATACTGATCTCGTACATTTTGGTTAAAATCCATCCTACGTAAATTAATATAAAGAAAAGGTCATGATTTAAAAGGCAATATGACCCACTTATCTCCAATAATGTACTGAAATGAAGGCTGCTTCATAAACTAGACAAAATTATTAATGACATTTAATCATCCTACAGTATACACTGGAATATGTTAAGTGCAACTCTGGTTGACATGGTCCTTTTAATGCATAACATCCAGATCTCATAATTCATTTATTCACAGCCCAATTTTCAACAAAGATCAAATGTAAAGCAGTGTTAAGGCATAGAATATTGGCGAATATTTTACATGTACTGTATGCATTTTTAAATACCAAGTAGTAGTGTAATTTCAATAATTAGCATTAAATCTTGAAATACACATACTGTAAGGCCTAGTAAAAATAATGTAGTTTCTCGTCCTAATATTTTCAAAAAAGGAGAACGAGGGCACCTTTTTTTTAAACTTCAAATTGGCAAATCCAAGATGGTCGATTGGACACATGCTACTACTTTCTCACTTTTACAATGTAGACACATTGAAAGCAAATAAAAGAAGCACTAGACATGATTCATACCATATGTGCCCCCAACCACGAATGATCGAGAGAGGATTTTACTGATGTGAGTTAGCCAGATTTCGTACATTTCTTAAAATAAAGGAAATAAAAAATAACAAAAAAATTGATGAGGCAGAGAAAATGGACGTGCGAAGGGACGAGAATCTAGTAATTTTTCAGTACAGGCAAAGTATCGGGTTCAAATCCTAGAGGGGATCAATTGATTTTTCTTAATAGTATTGACATTTTGTACAGAGCAAGTATTTTGTCAGTGGTTGAATGGAATGCTACGCAAAAATACAGCTTACTGTGCTGTAGCTCACTATATAATTTGCTTTCAGGTACTGATTATAAATTAACTGTCTCAAAAAGTTATCATTCAATTTCACGATTAAGGTGACAGGTATAGTTTTATGTTTGCAAATCAGGTACTTGTGAACATGGCAGACAATGTTTCAGAAGAGTCCTACATTTTTTCTACTGTACTAGTACTGAGTAATGTACAGTGTACTTACAGTACAACAAATACCATAAAAGTATTGCATTCCACAGTATTTTTTTGTCAGGAACGGGACATTCGTTCATGTAGAATATATGATTTAAAAGTGTGTTCAATGTTTACATGTATGCCTAAGGTTGATTATTGGGGGGAAGAAAAAATAAAATATATATTTTTTTTTACATTTTATGAAAAATTATTATTTTATTTTATGCATTGTGGATGGGACAAAATTTGGACATGACTTTCAGAAAGGTTTACATTCTAATATTTCTTCTCACCTGGAAAAGATTAATTATTTCTTGTTTAATACTACTATCACCAGATATTTGTTAAATACATTTTTTTACCAAAAAATTTTAATCTGCAATTTTATGAAGAAAATATGAATTATGTGCCGTCACGGTCGGGACATTCTTGATGTTGCGGACGGGATGGTTCGTCCAATGAGAGAAATACGACACTTTTCAATATGTAAAATGGGATAAAAATTATTATCTGACATCAATGCAACATTTTATTTTCAATCCCAAAATGAAAATAAATCTTTTAAACACAAAATAAATAATATTAAAAAATAATACATTGTCATAAAGTGTCCCATCCATGACAAAACTGTCCTATCTGTGACAATTTATTTTGAAATATTAAATCTTATGCAGGTTGGAACAAAAAATTATCTAAAAATTTGTTGATAGAATATTAAGTTATAGTTTCAAGTACAGTAGGAGAAAATTGAATACCTGAATTAAGTTTTTCATAGTATTACTTTTCTAATGAATGTAAAAAACCTCCTCAAATGTCAGACAGGACAATTATGAATTTTTATGTGTATACATATGAAATTAATAAAAAAAATTCTACCAAACACATGATTTTGCAATAAAGGAAGAACTATCTTTTCTAATGCATGTAAAAAAAACACTTCCTCAAATGTCAGATGGGATATTATAAATTTTGATGTGAATACATATGAAATAGAGAAAAAAAAATTCCACCAAACACATAATTTTGTATTTAAAGGAAAATTATGTCTGCACCAAAATTTTGTTATCAGATTCACTGTTCAAAAAATATTTAGCATTTGAATATTTAGCATGTCCCCTCCGTGACACCAAATATACTGTACATTTTTAATATTCATTATCATATTACTCCAAAAATATCCATAAAAAAATGAAAAGAAGTTTTTTCAACTAACTTTGATATCTACTTTGAGAATTAGTTAAAATTTATATTATTAATAATTGAAAATGTAAATTTACTGTAACCCGCACAGACCAAATACTGTGGAATGCCCCTATACTGGCTGGTACTATAGGAAAATAATTAGCACAATTATGGGTCTCACAGGTGGAATGGAAGATCATGAATGAAGAAACAAGAGGTTAACTTGTCCTCCAGTAAACAAACTTGCATTTCTCTAGGCTCATGTGTAAATGTATGCAGAACAAGGAATACAGCACTGCTGCTATGTTAAACACCTATTTATTGCACTACTACAAACTGTACACAATTTTAACAATTTTTTTATCTCTATTTATCTATAATAAATGTTTAATAATAAGCAAATTTATTTTACATACCGTAAAAATCAATATATTACAAACTTGAAACTCGCAGTACTTCCCACAAAGCAACACTTATATATTGCCCTCTGACAATTTTTTTTTTTTTAGTATCAAAGTCCTAACTTATAAAACAGGATACAACTAATTTAGAAAACAGGAAAATGTGTAGCACTAAGATATATGAACAGTGCAGGAGATTTATATTAACAAGGGGGAGTGAATTTCCTCTTTGCTAATTATTCTTACTCTGAACACTAGAGAGGCTAGTTTAATATAATTTCTCATCGATTTTAAAGTTAATGTGACATTTGTACTAATTATTATACACTTTTAACATCATTTACCAATTAACTATGACACTTATAGACATTTGTATTATGTGCTCAATACAAAGACAATACGATTAATTGGAAAAACTAGTCTCCAAATAGATTATACTGTATCCTAGATTTGAAATATAAAAGGACACAGAAAGTGACTTTTACAGATGTTGTGGGCGATTCCCAAATTTCTTGGCTATTGCATCTCTCACCTTTGTGACTGTGTAGAGATGGGGCTCTAAAACTATATAAAAATAATTCCCCAACCCCACCCTCCAACCCCTTCCAAAAATTTAAGGGGCAGGCCAACTGGCAGAGAATAGCTATGGTTAGAATCATACAGTGGAAGGTATATATTTGTGGTTAATATTCTACCTTAATCCCATGATCCTGAGTCCAAATTTTAATTTTTTTTTTCTAATTAACAAAAAATATCCCAACTCTATAAGATTACC